TTGGTGCCCAGGTCCTGTGAGTAGATTTTTCTAAGGTTATAGTTAAAATGTTTGGAATCTTCTTTGATGCTTCTATTGGACAATACAGATTTTTATTTTAAGAATTTCTTTTACATTTAAACTAGAAAATAGTGAAACCTAGAAAATGTCCTCGCCCAGCCCCTCTAAAAGCTATCCTTAATCATTTCATCCCCACACCATTGATGGTGAGGAGAGCTTGATAAGTAGGATCTCTTGTTGTTGTGAAGTGCTGTCAAGTCGGTCCCGACCCATAGCGACCCTGTGTAGGGTTCCAGGGAGCGGCTAGTGGTTTTGAACTGCTGTCCAGTGCTGATCCTACACAGGATTCCATATACACATGCCTATATTATTTTAGATTTTAAAAGAAATAGTCTCCTTTACATTGTTCCTTCAACTCAATTACCACATATTAGGAGAGGTTCCATGAGGCAAATAGACTTGCTGGGTACGAGTGTAAGGACTAGGATTGGTAGAAATTTCTAATGACAGGCAGTTTGATTAGATTGAAGATGGATCTCTTGGTTTCTTTGCCCACAGTGTAACTAATAGAGAATACTGCTTTGATAATCTGGATCCAGATTGTTGTGAAGTACTGCCGAGTCAGTTCCAACTCAGCTATCTTGTACAGGGTTTCCAAGGAGCAACTGGTGGTTTTGAACTGCCGACCTTGTGATTCACAGTCCAGTACTGACTCTATAGCACCACACCAGGAGTGGTTAATGGGCACTTAATATATGCCAGGCAGTGTGCCAGATACCCTCATGGATCTTACATTAGTAGTGGTTGTTAAGTGCTGTTGAGTCGATTCCGACTCATAGTGACCCTGTGTGGAGTTTCCGAGGAGCAGCTGGTGGTTTTGAACTGCTGACCTTGTGGTTCGCTGTCCAGTGCTGATCCTACAGAGGCGTCCATATACTCCTGCATACGTTGGTGTTGTTAGGTGCCATCGAGTCAGTACCTAATGCACAGCAGAATGAAACACTGCCCGATCCTGGGCCAACCTCACTACTGTTGCCATGCTTGAGTCCATCGATGCTGCCACTTGGCCAATCCATCTCATTGGGAGTCTTCCTCTTTATCTCTGACCCTCCACCTTACCAAACATGATATCCTTCTCCAGTGACTGGTCCCTCCTCACAGTATGTCCAAAGTAAGAGAGACCAAGTTTGGCCATCTTGGCCTCCGAGGAGCACTCTGGCTGCACCTCTTCCAAAATGGATCTATTGGTTCTTTTGGCAGCCCATGGCACTTTCAAAATTCTCCTCCGACACCATAACTCAAAAGCATCGATTCTTCTATGGTCTTCCTTATATTTGAGTTTAAAAGAAATAATCTCCTTTGCATCGTTGCTTGAGGCAAATAGACATTACTAAGACAAGTAACTAAAGCTCAAACATTGTATCTGCCAGATATCTGTCAGCATTTATTTATTGCTTTTTTATTTATTTTCGGTAGAAGTCCTTTCTCCCCTCCCTATTTGTCAGTGCTTAATTGACATGGTGTATGGTGGTGGTCGTGTGCCATGGAGTTGGTTCTGACTCATAGCGGCTCTGTATAGGGTTTCTGAGGCTGTAAATTCCCCCACATGGCAACTGGTAGATTTGAACTTGCGGTTAGCAACCCAGCTTGTAATCAACTATGCTATGTCAATTGTATATTGTTGTGTGCTATTGAGTCGGTTCCAACCCATAGCGAACCTGTATAGGCTTTCTGAGGAGTGGCTAGTGAGCTTGAACCACCGGCCTTGCAGTTCAAACTGACTTTGAAGTCTAGCACATTAACCCATAGTGCCACACCAGGACTCCTGTGTGTTGTATGTTGTTGTTGTTGTTAAGTGCCGTCGAGTCGGTTCCGACCCATGCTGTTTAAATAATTTTGTTAACCTGAGGGTACATTACCCTGCTGATTAATCCTGGAATTTCCAAGGGTACTGTGCTGAATTTGTTTTATAACCATGACAGAATTTTTAAAAATAGCATTAACCGCTATTTCCATAATAAAATTATCATAGCTCTGCCTAATAGTAGGCCATTATAGGAATTACACAGCTGTTTCTATCTTAAGGTTTATGAGATAATTCTTGGCTTTGTTCCCTTCCCTGGAACTTAGGGTGACTGTCAACTTCATAAAAAGACACAAGGTTTATCTTTTGCTCAGCTTACTGTTGAAGCATATAGAATCTGCCCTTTTTTAGCAATATTTGACCTCACCAGAGAATATAATCTTAATTTGTTAGTTTAGTTCTTGCCAAAAGCGCAATTTCAGGAAATAATATATAGGATGCATATACCGTGGATTACTCTAGAAACTAGATCAGTGGTTGGCAAACTGAAGCCCACAAGCCAAGCTGTTTTCTGGAAGTGAAGGGCTGTTGGAACGCAGCCGTACCTCTTAATTTATGCTTTGTCTGTGGTAGCTTTCATTCTGCATTGGCAGAGTTGAGTGTCTGCAACACATTTGCAGTCCCTGCTTGGATCATCAGTTCCTAACCTACGCTCTGTTTGCCTTTGCCTTATACCCCTATATCAAGGACCCCATTGTTGGGCTTCTATGGTGTAACGGTGTGTGAAGCCCCTGAAATTTTATACAAAACAGCATGTGTGTACCACATCTGTTTCCCTGGAGAGAACATCTGTCAGATTCAAAAGGAATCCAAAGCTCTAAAGCTATCAACAATCATTGTCCTCATTAGTGAAGTGTTGATTCCCTGTATTAAGCTAGGTCAGCTGTTCTCAAACTTTTTATTCTCAAGACTCTGATTTTTTTTTAAAAAATTATTTGACCCAGAGAGTGTTTTATTTGTTGACATTATTGTTCGCTGCAACCAAATCAGCCCCTGACTCGTGAGGGCTCGCACAGCGGAAGAAACCAGTTATCATCTATGGGGGTTTTGTTGGCTAGTTTTGGGAAGTAGATTCCAGGCCTGTCTTCTGAGTCTATCTTAACCTGGAAGCTGCACTGAAGCCTGGTCAGCATCCTAGTGCCTCTTAAGTCACCACTGACTGGTGGGTGGTATGTATGCTGAGGTTCCCTGGCCAAGAATCAGCCCTAAGTGGGTCTCCTTTCCACCCCTGAACCATGAGCCAACTTCTTTGTGTGTGTGTTAGTATTCGTCAGAATTTACCATATTTGAAATGAAAACCGAGAGAGCAGTTAAAATAGATTATTAACTCCTTTTCAAACAATAACACATTACATATTTTATTTACATTACAGCATTTTGTGTGTGTGCAGATGTTTTTACTGTCTGACGTAGTGAAAGATGATCATATGTACATTTTGCCTGTTGTGATATCCTGTTGGCTATAGAAGCCTGTCTTGTACATTCACGAAAGCAAAAATGAGAAAGGCAGATAATGTTGTAGAATTACGATGAAAATAGTTTTGTGATTGTGGACCATCCCTGAAATGTTTTTCAGATTCCCAGTGGTCTCCAGACCACATATTGAGAGCAGTGTGTATTTGGATTGTATTATTTTATTCTCTTACTGAATTGCACTCTGATACTTGGGCACCAGCGTGCATGAAGTGCTGCTTTGGAAGAAAAAGAAATGGGAAGTTTGCTCTGCTGTTGGTTTCGGGCATCTCGTTGAGGACTTTGTCCAGTACAGACGGGGACGTTGCGCACTGCCCCTCTCGTGAGGAGCCGCAGGAGCCATTTCCTGCAGATTTCAGTACCATGAGAAGCTGTGCCACTCCCCAGCCACTGGTAGGTTTTTGAATCTTATTGAAACAGATTTTTAACTGATCGTATTTTCTTCTTTGCTTTGGTAACTAGGAAGCTCAGCGCCTAATTTTCAGCTCACTCTCAAGCCCTTGTGTAGGTCTGTGTGTCTGTATACTAATCTCACCATCAGCTTTATTTTCTTTTTCCTTCCTCTCAGTTTCTTCATCTTCATCTTCTTATCCATTTGTATATTTCTTTAAGTTATGTATTACATTACTCTATGCTTTTTTATAAATTGTCTCAGATCATTTTCTGACCAAGGTTGAATATAAATTCTTAGCAGTAAAAGAAAAAAATCCCTTTATCATATTGTTGTGTAAAACATTAACAACTAGTAGCTTATAGAGCCTGTTTTGATTTATAGAAATTAGTAAATCAATCTCTTTTCTGGTGGTACTGTCACCAAGGTACCTTAGCAAGTAGGCAATTTGACTATACAGTCTGGAAATATTAAAATGTTATTTTGTACTATGTATAGTACAGTTACTGGGCAGTTTTGTTTCTTACTATCTAGCCACAGCTTGTGCCCAGTTTTTTCATTTTATTTAAGTCTCTCACACACACATTCTTGTCATTAGTGTCACCTGCTTCCCGGGCCTGCTTTTGGAACCTCTGCCAGGTGTTTTAACTCTTGGTCTTGCGTGTTTTCACAGTGTGATTCTGCTGAGGACAGTGACAAGGTTTGTTGATTTTAAATGGGGGGAATGGGGAGGGAAACTTGAGTCAGTCTTACATCTAAACTGAAGCTGCCTCCGAATCACAAGAGCTGCCTGAAATGAGTGGAAATGTTTCCTAAGAGTCAGAGGACTGCAGACAGACTTAGGGTGGTAGCGTGGAGGGTCTGTGTTAACACCCACCCTTCCTTATTTCATCAGTTGGTTACATGAGTTCCATAAAGAAACATATTTTGCTGAGATGTTTTGAACAAAAGTACTGTTCTCCTTTATGCAAAGTGAAGTGGGTTGAAATCAAAATGTGATTTGTATGAAGTAATGACTCTTGTAATTTTTTTAAAGATTAGACTCTGCGTATTTGTTACTATACAGATGCTGTCGTCTCAATTCTCAGAGGACTGCGTGGTCTTTTTAATTGATGAAGAACCAGGCTTTGTCTTCCTGTAATTTTGAAGTGAAGTTGAGTCGCCCAACAAGAAGACTGAATCCCATTTAAATATAGGCATTAGTAGTTCTGAGACAAACATCCGGATTCACTTTACCAGCTTTCCTGCTTCCTTTGCTCCCTAAATCATAAACTTAAGTCATCTCAGAAGGACAAGGTCCACCAGTTTATGGCCTTTACGCATGCTGTTGAAAGAGCTGCTCTATACTGTTTAACACAGAATGAGTGGAAACTAGACGTGACCACAGACAACTTCTTCCAGAACCTAGACTCATTCTACCAAGAATCCATGAGAAATTCAGTAGACAAGAAGAAATTAGAACAACTCTATAACAGGTACAAAGGTAAGGAAGTTCATAATAAAAACAAATCACTTCTAAAGTTTTATGTCTTAAAATATATGTATTATAAATAATTCTGGAATTTCTGTATGAAGAATCTCCAAGATACTATTCTTTGTCTTCCTGATATTCCCCTGCAAAATCCAATTTCTTCAATTTAAGTGAAGCTATGATTTAAAAGAAACAAACAACTACCCACCAAGTCCACTGCTGTCCAGTCTAGTCCAGCTCATAGTGACCCTCTTGTTGTGAAGTGCCATCGAGTCAGTTCTGACCCATACTGGCCCTGTTGTTGTGAAGTGCTGTCAAGTCCGTTCGGACTCATAGTGACCCTCTAAAGGGTTTCTGAGGAGCCGCTAGTGAGCTTGAACCACCAACCTTGAGGTTTAAATCGACTTTGCAGTCCAGTGCATTAACCCGCAGCGCCACACCATTGACCCTCTGGGGCAGATTGAAACTGCCCCCTATGGTTAGCCAAGGCTGAAAGTCTTTACAGAAGCAGACTGCTACGTCTTTTTCCCATGGAACATCTGGTCAGTTCAAACCACCAACCTTTCAGTTAACACCAAGTGCTGTACTACTCATACTCCTAGAACTGTGATGATGTTGTTATTAAGTTCCATCAAGTCATTTCCAACTCATAACAACCCTGTACAGGGTTTCCAAGGAGAGGTTGATCAGCTTAAACTGCCGATCTTGCAGCCCAGTGCGTTGACCCTCAGCACCAAGATCATGTGTATAAATTAGGGGCAAAATGAGAAGAGAGGCATCTAAAGACTAGTGGGAATCAACTCCCACTCAAGTTCTGTGCGGTGAGTTTCATACGGTGGTCACTATTTGTAAGGAAACAGTCACTGCCTTGGGGTGTGCTACCATAGCTGAGCTGTCATATCTTAATACAGTATTTTTGTTCAAGTACATCTTAGCCTGATATATTTATGTTATGGGTGAGAAGGGAAAGAATATATCCATCCACAGAGCCCAGAAGAACTGGGTGGTTCTGACTACCATCACTGAACCTTTTGATGAAATACTCTAGAAGAATCCTGATGAAAAAGGGAGAAAGTGCAGAACAGAATTTCATACTGTTTCTGGAGCCATGGACGCAGGTCATTCCGCAGAACGATCACCTGAGATATCCTTTAAACCTTAAACCCAAAATGCCCCTGAAGTCCTCTTACAGCCCCTAACCGGTAAAGGTGGTCTGTTCTGAGCACTGTGCTCTGTTTAAGAACTGTATGAGATCAGACTAAAGATGAGCTCGGAAGCTTGGGGGGCAGTGGTGGTCAGTCATCCCTGTTACTGCAGGAGGGACACCTCAGAGAATGGCACCATGTCACTAAATTGTTAAATGGGTCTGTGTTCTGAGGTGTATGTTGTCAAGGACGGCAACAGAAAGAATAATATGACATCATGAGATGAATTCTGAAATGAGGTAAAATGTCAGCCTTCTTAAAACAGTACAGTAGTGTTTCAGCACGGAAACAGTTTCAGTTGTTGAAAACTTTGGGGAAAGCTCTTTGGAAAGAAACCTTGGCATTGGAGGTTGACAGTGGTACTTAAAATGAAGCTTTTCCTATCAAAATGTGTGCTGTAAAAATAAATGCATATATAAATATACAGAGATTCAAAGACTAAGTAAGCAGATTGTAAAATTCTGTGTCCACTGTTAAGTCTGTGCTCTACCAGGCGACGTAGCAGTAATTCAAGTGCTGACTTTTTCTTTATGTTTTAGACTTTAATTTTATGTTTTCAAAACTTTAAAAAATAAAGCCTTATTTAAGCAACTATTAACTCCCCAAAATAATTTTTTTATCTTTAAAGTCTTCTTTTTTTTTATTTCAAAAGTACTCTTTGAGTATTTTATTAATTTTAATAATTTTCTTGTTCTTGAAAATATACACAACAAAACTGTCTGTATTTTAACTTACTTGGATCTGAAATTTACATTTTGATTTTGAAAGTCTTTTATCATAGAAATATTTTCTATGATAAAAATAACACATAGGTACTTATGGTGCTGTTGTCAAATGCCGTAAAGTCAGTTCCGACACATAGCGACCCTTATAGGGTTTCTAAAGACTAGCTTGTGAGCTTGAACTGTCGACCTTGCAGTTCAAACCAACTTTACAGTCCAGTGCATTAACCTGCAGCACCACACCAGGACTCCAACAAAAAATATTTTAAAGTTTTAGTGTACTTTATGAATTTTGGGCTAAGTTTTTGAGTTAATGTTGTAAGTCACATACTCTGCAGATGCTTTAAGGCTAGTCAAGTACGTGCAGAAGTTTGTTTAAAAAAATACACAAGTGGAATTATAAATCAATGCTTTCATTTAAATTAAATTAATTAATTTTATAAATGTGATAATTTTAAATGAATATATGATATAATCATCTTAGACTCTATAATGGAGTCCTGGTGTGGTGCTGTAGGATACCGAAAGGCTGGCAGTTCAAATCCACCATCCACTCCCTGAAAACCCTAAACAGGGTTGCTGTGAGTTGTAACTGACTTGACAGCACTTAACATCAACAACAAAGACTAAAATATAAAGTTCAGAAACTGATGGTAATATAATCTGTTACTGTGTTAATGTTTGTAAATGATACTTCCCAAACTACTTTACAATACTTAGCAATATTGTATATGAAGTGAACCAAGACTGTTTATTAAGTGAGAACATTGTAGAACAATGTCTCTCATGTTCTGAATTTGTATACTGTAAGGGGCCAGGACTGAATGAGGATCAATGGTAATTTTTGATTGAGCCTTTGTTCCACAAGTCCACAGTTGAATTTGCTCTGTACCTATTGTAGGAGAGTAGACTTAGATGTTTGATTTCCTGTTCATTAATTATGTCATCAACTTTTCTTCATTAACAACATATATGTAAATAAAGTAGTATACTCAGGAGGTCCTGAATGTCTCAAACGGTTAAGTCTTGACTACTAACCTAAAGGCTGACTATTTCAACCCCTCCCCCACAAGGTGCCTCAGAAGATAAGCCTGTTGATCTGCATCCAAAAGGTCCTAACCCTGAAAATCTTAAGGACTAGTTCTACTATGCACGCATGGCGTCTCTATATCTGAGTCTGAAGCAACTCAGAGGTAGCTAACAATATCTGATACTTCAATGACCAAAGTTAAATTTTTCATGAATGAGAAGAAAAGTTGAGCACACCTGTGGTGCTGTAGGATCAGCTCTGGACTACGAACCCCAAGGTCAGCAGTCCAAACCTACCAGCTACTCCTCTGAAACCCTATACAGGGTCTCTATGAGTTGGAACAACTCAACGGCACTTAACAACACGTCTTTATTTGGAGAACATGGTAGCTCTATACAATAAGCACTGGACTGCCAACTACGAGGCTGGCGGTTTGAGCCCACCAGCCACTCTGAGGGAGAAAGATGAGGCTTTCGGCTTCTGCAAAGAGTTGTTGTTGTTAGGTACCATCAAGTCAGTTCCAACTCACAGCACTTTATGTATAACAGAACGAACCATGGCTCGGTCCCGGACATACCTCACAATTAATTGTTGCTACTCTTGAGCCCACTTCTAATATTCTCCTCCAACATCGTAACTCAAATGCATCAGTTCTTCTGTGGTATTCCTTATTCACTGTCCAACTTTTCACATGCATCTGAAGCTATTGAAAATACCATGGCTTGGGTCAGGTGCACTTTAGTCCTCAAACTGGCATGGCATCTTTACTCTTGAATAATTTTAAGAGGTCTCGTGCAGCAGATTTGCTTGAATATGCAATATGTTGTTTAATTTCTTGACTGCTGCCTCCATGAGTGTTGATGTAGGATCCAAGCAAAATGAGGTCTCTGACAATTTCAGTCTTTTCTCCATTTATCATGTTATTTACTGTTCCAGTAGTGAGAATTTTTGTTTTCTTTACACTGAGGTGCATCCTATATTGAAGGCTGTGATCTTTGATCTTCATCAGTGAATATTTTAAGTCCTCTTTACTTTCAGCAAACAAAGTTGTATCATCTGCATATCGCAAATTGTTAATGAGTCTGCAAAGATATATAGCCTCGGAAACCCTAGAGGGTCTCTATGAGTTAGAACCCACTCAGTAGCACTTAACAACAACACGAACAATCTTTATTTGAGCTAAGTAGCTATGTTTTTTTATTTGTACCTTTTAAACTAATTACACATAAACTGTATTATATAATAGGATAGGAGTATATCCAATCTGTCAGAAATTAATAACCTAATTTGGAGTCCTGGTGTGGCAGTATGGGATATAGCACTGGACCACTAGATTGGTTTGAACTTAAAGGTCAGCAGTTCAAATTCACCAGCTGCTCCTTGGAAACCCTCTCCAGGGTTGCTATGAGTTGGGACTGACTCGATGGCATTTAACAACCATTTGGTGACATCTGGTTGGGATACTTTTAATATATTTTACTATTTGATTTTCGATTTGATTAATGTGAAGTTCTTTCATTTTATTTCTAAACTGGATGTTGTTGTTGCTAAGTGCGATGGAGTCAGTTCCAAATTCTCTCAACACTGTATAGGGTTTCCGAGAGTGGCTAGTTAGCAGTCCAGTACTTATCCTACAGCGCCACACAAGGATTCTAAACTGAATGCATGCTCTAAAATGGATACAGTATGAACTGGATGTTGTCGTTGTTAAGTGCTATCGAGCCAGTTCCGACCCATAGCGACCCTGTATAGGGTTTCCGAGGGGTGACTGGTGAGCTTGAATCACTGACCTTGCAGTTCAAATGGCTTTGCAGTCTGGCGCATTAACCCACAGCGCCACACCAGGACTGCATAATCTAAATGATTCTAAAACAAAAAATGACTGTGCAGAGGCATTAGAACTAACTGATTCTTTTTAAAAAATTGTGCGATGGCATTGGAACTAGCAAATGAAATCACTTTAAAAGAAAAAAATCTTTGGCAGTATTGTGGTAAAACCTTAAAATGTTTACCATTACATTGACATTCCTAGCAATTTGCAGAGTAAACTTCTGTCAACTTGAAGTTTTATTTTTGCTTTAGGGAAGGTAAATTGTTTCATACTAATGAAGTCTTTAAGCAGTTTCAAGGACATTTTTTCCCTGAGATCCCAGAAACCTAGGTTTTAAAAATGACACTGTTTTCTGGCTATGTTATTATCTGTTATTCACTGTTTCTTTTATTGGAGTCCTGATGTAGTGCTGTAGGATGAGCACTTTGTTGTTGTTGTTGTTAAGTGCCGTCGGTAGGATGAGCACTGGACTGCTAATAACCAGGTTAGAGGTTCACACCCACCAACCACTCCTCAGAAACCCTGTGAGGGTCACTTTGAACAAACTTGACAGCATGTAACCGCAACATTTCTTTTACCTACAGTACAAAATTGTAGTTCCATTGAGCCATATATATGAAGCACTATTCCTATAACTGTGTGAAAGATTGTAATCATGCATTTTCACAATGCTTTTTCAAAATGGTTGAACTCTCTCCCCTTAACTTTAACTATAGATCCACAAGATGAAAATAAAATTGGAATTGATGGGATTCAGCAGTTTTGTGATGACTTAAGCCTGGATCCTACCAGTATCAGCGTTTTGGTCATAGCATGGAAGTTCAGGGCAGCTACTCAGTGTGAATTTAGCAAAAAGGAATTTGTAGATGGCATGACAGAGCTTGGGTAAGTTCTTCTCAGTTTTCATTTTCTTTTTCAGACATGTTTGACATTAATTGCTTTTTAAACTCTGTAAGTACTAATCTGGTATGTATTTTCTTTGTGTATCGGATACATTTCGTGTGCATCCACGCTGTTTAAGATTTGAGTTTTCCTTTTAAATTCCAATTTAAACTTAATTCAGTTTTTTTTTTATCTTTTTACATTTGTAACTCATTTTTTATAAAAAAAAATTTCTTTCAAGTTTTTAATTGCTTACATACATCAGGATTTTAAAAAATTGCTAGTTTTCAGTTATTCAATTTATTTCATAATACTGTGCATATTTCATAATATATTTCATATTTCATAATCGCTATTTCATAATAGCGATACAGTGTGTCACTACTTAAACATTAATGTCATTTTGTTTTCTGCTGGTAACACTATTCTATTTTACATATTGTTGCTGTTGTTAGGTGCCATTGAGTTGGTTCTGACTCTTAGCCTTCCTGTGTACACCAGAACACAACACTGTCCAGTCTTGAGTCATAAAAATCATCTTTTCCATGTCAGAGCCCCATTGGTGCAGCCCCTGGTTCAGTCCATCTTGTTGCAGGTCTTCATCCTGGTTTGTTGACCTTCTCCTTTACCAAGCACAATGTCTTTCTCAAAGGACTGAGGTTCCTCCTGACCACATGTCTCACCCTCCTCACTTCTAAGGGACATTTGGACTTTATCTTCCAGGACAGACTTGTTCATTCTTTCAGCAGTCCATGGGATGCTCAGTACTCTTCCCAACACCGTAATTCAGAGTCATCAGTTTTCCTTATTCATTGTCCAGCTTTCCCATGCAGAAGAGATGGTAGAAAATAGTATTGTGGCTTGAGTCAGGCACACCTGAGTCTCCTAAGTTACAGCTATACTTTTTAAACACTTCTCTCTTTTGCAGCCAACATCTCCATTGCGATGGGTTTTTTTGTTTGTTTGTCACGATGTTGTGGATTGGTCCAGTTGTGAGAATTTTTATTTTCTTTATGTGTAGTCTGTACAGAAGACTGTAGTTCTTGATTGTCATCAGTAAAGCTGGGTCATCTGCATATCACAGGTTATTCATGAGTCTCCCTCCAATCCTGATGCTTTGTCTTATTCATGTAGTGCCTCTTCTCAGAGTGTTTGCTCATCATACAGCTGGGACACGTACCTCTCCTAAGTTCAAACTACACAGTGTCCCCTTATTCTGTCTGAATGCCTGCCTCTTGTCAATGTTTGGAATCTTCTGGAGCACGGCTAAGTGTTCTATAATTCCCATTCTTCGTAATGCTGTCTGTATTCTGTTATGATTGATGTTATTAAGTGCCATTGATTCAGTTCCGACCCATAGTGACCCTGTATAGGGTTTCCAAGGAGCAACTGGTGAGCTTGAACTGCCGACCTTGTGGTTCAAACCGACTTTGTAGTCCAGCGCATTAATCCACAGCGCCATATAGCCACAAAACATAGATAAACATCTTTCTGTTTTTCTGTGCTTTCAGCCAAGATCCATCTAGCACTAGAAATTCGAGCTGGACTCCAAAAGAGGGCCATTTCCACAATCTGAATTTGTTGAATTTCTGCATCAGTTTCTTACTGATGTGTTGCTATAACGGTTTTCTAATTACCTTCAGCCAGATTGTACTTGTGTGTGATATTAACGATGGATACTTTACACATCTGTTAGATCCTCTTTCTTTGGAATAGACGTGGATCTCTTCTGGTCAGAAGGCCAGGTAGCTGTCTTCCAAATTTCTTGCCATAGGCAAGTGACTGCTTCCAGTGTTGCATCTGATTGTTGAAACGTTTCAATATACCAATGATTCCTGGAGCCTTCTTTTCACCCATGTCTTCAGTGCAACTTGGACTTCTTCCTTCAGCCCCTTCAGTTCTTTATCAGATGCTACCTTCTGATATAGGAGCTCTGGTAGCGTAGTGGTTACGAATCAGGCTGCAAACCTTAAGGTCAGCAGTTCAAAACTATCAGCTGTTCCGTGGGAGAAAGATGAGGCTTTCTACTCCCGTAAAGATTTACATCCTTGGAAACCCTGTACAGGGTCGCTACCAGTCGGAACTGACTCCACGGCACATAACAACAACAACAACAACCTTCTGATATAATTAAATGTTGACAAGTTCTTTTTGTACAGTAACACTGTCTTCTTTTTTTCTTTCATTCCTTCTGTCTTTTGAGGGCTTCCTGCATGGTGTTGTTTGTTGGTAAGTGCTGTTGAGTCTGTTCCAACTCAAAGCGACAATGTATAGGGTTTTCAAGGAGCAGCTGCCAACCTTAAGGTTCAAACCGACCTTGTGGTCCAGCACAACATTCCACAGCACCACACCAGGAATCCCTGGAATCCTTCAGTAATTCAATGTGAGGCTTAAGTTTTTCCTTCTGTTCTTTTAGCTTGAGAAATGCTAAACATGCTTATTTATCCCTTTTGGTTTGATAATCCCAGGTTTCTGCACACATTTCATTATAATATGTTTCTTTGTCTTCTAGAGACACTATTTGATTATCTTCTGTTTGCTTTAGCTACTCTGCATTCAGGAGCAAGTTCATACTTCAGGTCTTGTAAGGTTGTTTTAATTTCCTCAGCTTCAGCTTGTATATGAACTTTTGATGGTCTGTTCCATAGTCTGCTTCAGGTCTTATTCTGACGATAATACTGAGCATCTCCATTGTCCCTTTCTGCAGATATAGACATTCCTGTGTTTGCCATCTAAGGGGCTCTGGTAGTGTAGTGGTTACAAATGAGGCTGCTAACCTCAAGGTCAGCAGTTCAAAACTACCAGTTGTTCCATGGGAGAAAGATGAGGCTTTCTGCTTCTATAAAGATGTACAGAGCCTCAGAAACTCTATGTCGCTGTGAGTCGGAACCAGCTCCACGGCACACCACCACCACCACCACCAATTATTTCAGTATTGAAAACTTGAATAGTTTATTCTTCTTAGCTGTTGAAAGGAGCTTAAAAACCTTAATATAAATGTGTTTTTAAAACACACACTTACATGCTGGTGGCCAGGAGGCAGACTTGCAGAATGTGTCCTTTGGTTGTTTAAATCATTATAAATTCCTGAGTGTTTCTGTGTACATCACCCCCCCCCCCAAAAGAAAAAGAGGAAATGGAAGCAAATGCTGTTGATGATGCATGGAGGGAATTCTAATCATTGCAATGAAACGAAATCCAATAGGATGAATGTAAAGCTGATATTCTCCCATGTAAACTATCACTCAGTTCACAATTTAAAAAAAAGGTAATCCCCCTCAAAAACCATGCTCTTACAGCAACCAAGAGGAGAGAAAAAATATAGCATTTGTTTCTTTCTACTGTGGAGTCCTGGTGTGGTGCTGTGGACTAATGCGCCAGGACTGCAAAGCCATTTGAACTGCAAAGTCAGCGGTTCAAGCTCACCAGGTGCTTCTCAGAAACCCTATACAGGGTCATTATGGGTTGAAACCCACTCAGTGGCTCTTTACAACAACTAAAGTAATGAATCTGTTGTATTCATCACTATCTGCAGGTGGTTTCTGGGTTGCAACATTGAACGATGTTCCTCCTTGCCCGTTACTGTTAGGTAAATTTGCCCTCACTTTGAAATGATTGGACCAATTCAGCTTGCCACAAAGTCTTTGTCAGACCAACATCACTTGCTGCACAGGGGGCTTTCCAATCATTGAAAGAGCTTTGAGCCTTTCCTTGTACTATAATAAGGATAAATAAGACCATAGGCTCCTGCTTCAACCTCACGTACTGAGTCTTAGAGACACATTTAGGAACAGCTGTCATTCAGACCCAGAACTAACTACACCTAAAAGATGAACTCTGCAACACGTTACTTCTGGTACTGTCTGACCACATTCCTGTTCACTGTAGGAAAGCCAACAGAAGACATCAGTGTGATGCTGTTGGACCATTTAGCATACTTCGTGCCCCTCGCACATAGGAAGAGCCTGAAGAATGTAGTGGGGTTCCTATTAGACTGCTAACTGAAAGGTCAGCAGTTCAGAGCACCTCCACTGCCTTGGAGGAAGCCGTGGCAGTCTGCCTCTATAGAGATCTGCAGACTTGGAGACACTGGGGAGCGGTTCTCTGTCCTGTAAGCTGACTCCGGGTCGAAGTGGACTCACTGGCACTGGGTCTGGGTTTAGAAGTGAGGAAAGCCTGAGTGAACCCTAGCGTTCGAGTAAAACATTTAGAATTGAAAGCCCACGTTAACAAAGGCCCCTATTGCTTATTGTAATAGTTACTGTCCCATTATTCAAATCTCCTTTAAGTGAGAAATTTGGAAAATCAGTGAATTATAGAAACACCTATTAGCACTTGTTATGTATAAGTGTTGCATGAGAGAATGAGAGCGTTCTTTTAAGTTCTTGACCACTGTCTTACTAAATGCCGTAACTTAAAAGTATTTTAAGGATTTGGGGTATCAGTTTTGTTTTTTTAAAACATATTATATAATTTCATACCCTCTTACATAAAAATAGGCAGAATGTAATCTAAGGTTGTAAATTCAGGAGCCCTGGTGGCGCTGTAGGACAAGAACTGGACTGCTCACCGCAAGGTTGGCTGTTCAAGGCCATCAGCCGCACCAAAGGAGAAAGATGAGGCCCTCTGCTTCTTTAAAGATTCACAGCCTTGGAGACCCTACACAGGGTCATTAGGAGTCGGAACCAACTCCTTGGTAGTGAGATAGATATGCCCTGCATCTTACAGAGAAGTTCAAGGTGAAAGGATTTTGTAACTAGGAAACCCACCCCAGTGTTGTAGTCAGTTTCAACTCCTAGTGACCGTACAGGACACAGCGGACCTGCCCCAGAGAGCTTCCCAGACTGTAGATCGTTACAGAAACAGATTGCCACATCCTTCAACCATGGATGGCCGACAAGTTCATATTGCCAAGCTTCCAGTTAGCAACCAAGCACTCTAACTGCTGTGCCACTAGGGTTCCTATAAATATGAGAGTGTGGTACTAAATCAAAGAGTCCCGA